CCAGTGTAGATTTCGGGAAAGTCGATGGACACCGAAGGCTCGTCGGTCTCCAGGCACTCGCTGTGCGAAAAGTAGAAACCCGGCGAGCAGCACACTGTCACCACTGGCTTCGGCCATCGTTTCGGCCTTGCTCCTCTCATTGAATGGTCTACTGTTGTTGCCTGCGGATGTCATAAGATCGTTATGTGGTTTTCTCACGACGATTTTTGATTGTGTTTCAGCGTGGAAAGGTCCGCTTTCGCTTTCGGATTTGTTGGCACCGTATCCACAAACGTCGACGACACTCACGAATGTTACACAAATTAATTTGTAAAATTCATAACGAAGCGTGTTAATCTAGGACAAATTCTAAATTACGCCGACGATTGCGAGAAACTTTTGCTTTATTTACAATATAACTGGGGTTCCATGCGGGAAAAGTCGTAGGTATCATACTGTTCGACAGAAACACGCACACACGTACGATTCTCGACACGTTCGCACACGCGATGCAAGTCTGATATAACAATTACCAACTTTTCCGTTGCCATATCGTTATACAGTGCAAAATTTACCTAATTTGCAATTATACTTATGGTCATAATTTTCAAAAGATTATGCAACGAGTTGTATAAATTATTCTCAAAGATAATAACATGTAATTACGTCGAGTGTGTAATTGAAGTGTTAAGAGCGAAATTACTCCATTGTTGTGTGCTTAAAAGAAATAGAGCTATACGTATAGTCATAAAATTATAATTAAGCTGTACAAAGTATCTCATTGACAAAAGTGCACGAGTGCTATTACAAATGCTGAAGCGCGCGTTAGATTATTAAGTATCCATCACGAAAGATGGGTGCATATGTATACACGTGGGTTACAAACGAAATCAGTGGTCACTGAGCGCGTGAGCAAGTTCGTTAAAATGCCACCGACGTCATTAGATTGAGTAATTTGTAATTACATTTGTGAGATCCTGAAACCTGGCGATGAATGGTAAGACAAAAAATTTCGAGGCAAAAAAAACACGCGACGATTGGAGAACGCATCAAAAGAAACACGCCGAGTTTGACTTGTTAATCGTGTGGTCAGTGGAAGCTTTTGTTGGAATTTTGATACACGCGCTCTGTCGATCTGACATTAATAACATTCGAGTTCATTGCTTACCAATGTCAATACAATTTAAAATATATGTACTGACGATGGCAACCTATTGATAAGAGTGTATGGTACTATTTTTGGCAGCATTTCTATCTTCGTCACTTGTCTACCTGACACGTAGCCTGCAAAAAATTTCATGCACTTTACGTATGAAGCAATGAATACGGTTATGAGACTGACGTCGATTACGTATAGGGGTCAGCACATCAATTTAACGCTTAATATTCACCTGCATTTCTACACTTCTAAGTCATCGGAGATAAAACGACCTGTATTATATTTATTATCTGTCAACTATCGACAACATTGAGCGTATATGTGGTGTTTGTCTCATCGTATGTAAATGAAGCTTATAGGCAATAGTCATCAAGCTGATCGGGAAGAAAATTGAAAAATTCCGATGCTTTTATTTGTCATTCTTCTCCGAAACTTCGAGAAAATTTTCCCGCGATCCGCAACCATGCGAATGAAGCAAACGTCCTACCAAAAAGCAAACGGTGCCTCGACAAAGATTTTCACGCCAATGAAACACTTGCCAACGAATAGCAGCGCGCGCGTAGACCTTTTCTCGCGTAAAACACACCAGTTTGCACACTCCGAGGGTTGTCGATGATCACCTCATGTCGACCAGCCGAGTGAACATCGCCTCTATTGCCAGTCGAGGCAGCTAAGTTGTCGCCGAGGCGCAACGCATCGCCGCAGTGAAAAACCGGCTGCAAGCAAGCGACGCAAAGGAGCAACGCGATTTGCATGTTGGCGCCTCACCGCACAACGCGACACTGATTCTCCGTGTGGGTCGTATGCGTTTTCACCTGCTACTGCTGCTGCTGCTGCTGCTACTGCTGCTGTTGGACGCCGGTTCCTTCCGCGCGCTCTACTCGATTTGTTGTATCCGTCGTTTTTTTCTCTTTGGCGTTCGATTCACATTCTCGCGACATTTACGCAGACAGTCTTGCACTCGAGATTTGCATTACTGGAGCGAGTATTCACAATGGCAGGTCGGCCAACGTGCGTTTCCTTTTTCTAACAGTGGCAACAGACATGGCGTGCGGCGTCGATCGATTGAAAGTGGTGTCTGCGTGAATATGAGGATGCTAGTCGACGCTCCTAAATATACACGACGACTTTTACGTCTCGACATTGTGGGAAGATGATGACAGTGTGACACACTGAGAGAGCAAGAAAGAGAGAGAAAGAGAGTTCGCAGCTGACTATTAGTATTAATAATATAGCTTCATTCACGAGTTTTTTCCCTCGCAAGCGGAAAAGTTTCGCTTGATACGAAATTGATTTTTGATTGTGATTTAGATGTCGCCAACGGCAAATCAAATCGTCGGGTCAAACATCATTGTCGTGCGAATTAAATATTTTGCGAACATGGTTATTTATGTATATAGGTTTGTGATTTAGAAATATTGTTTCTTATTATATAAAACGTACAGAAACACCTAACATTGTTTCTATTACAACTGCAATGAATACATTTTATAGAAACCAGTTGTTGTCGTTTACCTTCGATGTATTCTTTATAACACAATGTATGTTTACGAGATACTGCAATTCGCTATACATATGTCAGCTTCAAGTAATTTTTTATAACTCATTACTATGGTAAACGACGTCGTACATATATCTGAAGATTTATTGATTGACATCATCTATTTTGCATTATCAGCTATTTTGCAACTAATTAGAAAATCTACAAATCTAAAAGTTTGTACATGCCCACGTATGTATTTGTTTCTATACTATTCATTTAATGGTATTCATACCTAACTGCAATAGTTACGAAATACTCAGTTTGATTTTCCAATAAATTTCTAACAAATTCTTGTACAATGTTATACAATTTGGAAATCAAATACTATAATGACGTTTGTAAAAATTCTCGAGCTTAGCCGAATGATAAATATGATTCATGCTCTTGAATATATACCACAATATCCTTTCGATTACGTCAATTAAAAAATCATTGGGGCTACATGGACAATGATAAATAACTCAAAAGATTATTTTATACAACATGCTTTGTATTGACTAAAAGCGAATAATGTATATTGTTGGAAGCTTTTAAAAGTATATCCGTTATAAATTGGAGTCAAGTGAATGTAATAGTGGAGTCGTTTTACATTACATTATTAACATTAATTTTATTTTTCCAAAATTGAAAACGATATCAATGCATATTATAAATGTGTATGAAGAAAATAGCTTCAATTCAAAGTAATTTTATAATAATTTATTTTTTATGCTATTGAGATATAATTATAGTCGAAGGAATAAACTGTATACTATTATGAGGAACCCTGATAAACTTTGGAAGATAAAATTAATTCAACTTAATTATGACCCTATCAAGTTGTAATTTACAGAAAATGCACATCAGTTTGATGGTATGTGAAAGGAATGCCATATTCAGTGTTTTAAAAAAGAAACGAACGAAGAACTAGTTAAGTGAGTGTGTTTATAACTTAACACCCACACTCCCGTCGCGAATTCTCTCTCTCTCTCTTTTTCTGTTTCTTTTTTGCTGATTTCGCGCTCAAGACGCGTCCATAGTTTTCTGCGCGACATTCTGGATAACGTCAACAAAGCACAACTGGACCCTCAAGCGATGTTTGACTAGGCCTTCTCTAACGGTCTGACGCTCAACATTGCCAAGGCGAAAGTCATTATCCAGCGTGTTGGCATGTGAGCTTTACATCTATTTGCTGTACTTTAGCGTGATCAACAAGATCCTAATTCATCACCCATCCACTGTAAGAACTAAATCTTAACGACCTCCTTGACCTAAATCATCACACCGTTGACGTGACTCGTAAAGTTCGTAATTCATTGTACTTACTGAGATTCTACAGGAAGGCTCTCTCTAGTAGACTCAAGAAAAACCTCGTCCAGACACATCCTTGCTTATTTTAAAATTGTTTCTGGCGTCTTCATGGACACTGATAAGACTTGAGTCACCTACATACAGTCGCTCACAATGTCTGCGTCCGATTCATTGTTGGCTTCATTCCTTTCGTCCCGACTTCTTATATCAGCTGAAGCTGAGATGAGTGATCTTAAGCGCCCGCCGGTATTTCGCCTTGCCAATGCTTCTCTAACAGGTCGTCATTCGGCTTAGTTCTTAACAAAATATTCCGATAGCTGTCCTCTTTTGCGCTGCTCGCGCCGAAGCATGAAAACGCTTTCTTACTTTACGTATGGAGCCTATCATCTCGACCAGCTGACTGTCGTGGATTTTCCCTTGACAAACTCAGTGAGCTTGAAACCTGACTCTGTCTCGCTCAAAATCCGATAGGCCGAGTCCGAGATTGTGAATGGGAACTTAACTAACCGCGAAGCGATAAATGATGCGATGCCTTAGCCGTCGTTTATCGCCCTTTCAATTGGCAGAATCGACCTCAACCTAATCTTATGCGCTAATACACTTTACATCTGTCCCATACTTTTCCTAGAATGCTTTAATTTATTCCCAGAATATGCCGTAAGTTGAAAAATGTCCGGACTTTTTTAAGACTTTTTCCTTACAATCGTCAAACTTACTTTTTAATATAGTTAATAATTTTCGATATTTTTGTTCTGTTAGTAAAAATATGTAGGTATTCGTCTCAGTGATATAACCACAGCTATGTTTTATAGAATTAACTTGCGTTCATATGGTACAATTGATATTTTATTTTTATTGATTGCTCAATTTAACCTGCGTCATTATTTATACGATAAAACATGATTGATCGTTCGATTATTCTTCTCAATCGAATGAAATTCAACCTGGTTTAATTTATGCACTATGGCCGTAGAATATTTATTAAATGCCTGCAGAATACTTCTGCTTACAAGATACGAAATTGAAGAATACTATTGAAACCCATCGAAAGACGGTGGTTAATGTTTGACGCGCGGGCACTCCTGTACGCGAATGCATTTACCATTGCTGCTTTTGTCGCGCACGTAGCTCTCTCTGCAAACGCACCTCTTAGCACAAACTGCTGGACTCGCGCAACGTTCGCCCGACGAACGGTCGTCGTTGTTTACATCGTCGCAGCTTCTCTCGCAACCGGATGCGCAGGTGTTGTACAGCTCGTTCTTACCGCACTGCTCGGAGCTTTTCTTTGAAGCTGGATTACGTTTATCTGCGAGGCGAACGTTCCATTTCAAAGTTACAAAATGTTACAGCTTGTGAACAAATTCATGTTGGTCTATTTATTCAAGGACAAAAGAGAATAGAGCACGTTTTCCTTTGAAAGAGCAATCCAGATATTATTTCCAAGACAAAATATGGCAATGTAAGTAAAGTAAGCTAGCAACTACCCGCAAAGTAAAAAATTCAAAAGAGATATTACCAATCACATTAGCCTCGATGTCTTCGTTGTTAATGCTCAATGAACTGACATCGCGACCAAGCAACAAGACCAAGAACTGAAACGCAAGAAGACAGCGGAGAAACTTCATTGTTATTTTTGCTGTCGTCGTCGTAAAGCACGAGCGTTCACAAGTTACAATTGAAAAGAAATCGCGAGCGGACTGCGTTAAATAGTCTGCGTAGCGAGGTAGATTAAAATACAACAAATCAAAAATAAACCGACGGCATGCGCGACGAGATAGCAGAACTGGTTTCATTTTCTTCCGTTTTTTTTCCTCGCCGGATATGTCAGCTTGGAGTTTAGTGTGACCATAATTCAGATAAATACGGACAGTATAGGCATGCTTCACGATGGAAGCGTACCATTATTGGATATTTCGTATGGATCTGAATTTAAACGAGACGGTATTTTACGCGCGAGTGCGCTTCAACTGACAATTGAAGTGGTGCTTTTGGAGAAACCTATGTAATTATTGCGAGAATTATTACGTGCGATAAAGGGGGATATTCGAATAGCGATTTGATGACTTGAATTTTCGAATATCAAACACACGTGACAAAAGTTTGACCAATTATTAGACATTTGTCCCAATTCTTAATGTTGAAAACAATTAAATTGTCTAATTCTCAACGATTCTACAGGTATACCGGATTTTGCATCACAAGCGAGCTATAATATTTCCGGAGGATTTTGGTGCGTTAAATCCAAATCTGGTCTCAAAATTGTTCCATCACGTCAGGTTTTTGAAATATTCTAACCTAAAAGTACAGAGAACATTGTTTTTTTATCTATTTAAGGTTATGTAGCATCGTAAATAAATTTTTCGATACTCCGGGCGCAAAATGCATCTTTCCCGCACGCTCGGCAGAAAACCTGCGTTGAAAATCGCACTTTTCACACGTCGTATCAAAAAATGCAATACGGCACATGTTCGGGAAAGAGTTTCTCGTCTCGTGTACCTTTCCACCATCGCTTCGCTCGGGCATAAACGCCACACGAGATAAGAATCTACGTTCCCACATTTGTATCGTAATGTACAATTTGTCCGCCAAGATATCGCACTTTATAATATATATATTTATGAAATTCTCAAAATTTGAAAATCCATTAACCCTTCCAAGCACACATTTTTCTATTAGCTTTTCTTGCATGAAGAATTTTACTCGAGGATTTTTGAGGTCGCTAAATACGAATCTGCCATCAGAATTTCAATTTTTCAAAATCACGAGCAAAAAAAAGATAATAGAAAAATGTGTGGTTCAAATGGTTAATGGATTTTCAAATTTTGAGAAATTCAAAATTATAAATATTTCAAAATATTTCAAATTGTCAAAAAAAAGATATTTGGGAACACTCAACGGCATTTGAAAGGAGAAGATCTGTACTTTGAGATGCTTAAATAGTTTTCAGAGAAAAAATTTATTTACGATGCTACATATATAAAAAAACAGTGTTTTTTGCACTATTAGGTTAGGATATCTCAAAAACCTGACGTGATGGAACAATTCTGAGGTTAAATTTGGACTCAGCTCATCAAAGTCCTTCGGGAATATTACAGCTCGCTTGTGATACAAAAAATGAGCTATTATTTGTATACCTATATTATTAAACATATACTTTGTAGAACGTAAATTATATCGCTCAATAATATGTTTATCAATAATTCATTCTTTCATTTCAACATATCTTATCAATCCACAGTTGAATACGCATGTGCTTGTATCTCGAAAAAAGAAGAAACGAACAGTATCCCTCAAGCAATATCAACAAAGTAACAACGCTATTAAGATAAAGCCGAAGAAAAGCCGTAAAACATTAAGCATTGTAAAAAAAACGTTCAAACTCAAGCTACTTCCAATTTCACATCTCGCGTTATTTCCGTCACACTTGCGACGAGAATCGATGGCGTTTTATTCTCAAGGATCACCGCCCATAAAGCACAAAGAAAGAATGAAACTTGTGCACGTTTATCGACTGGTTCAACTGATCATTGTATGCGAAAGTTTTCGCATAGGTTAGGGTACATGGCAAAATCAATTCTTGATGTCGATGACGTTTTAGCAGCAGGTACTTATTTGAACCGCAAGCACTCTCGGGAAAGACGCTTACCCATGAAACTTGAAAATTACTTGGAGCAAGGAAGAAGACTGTCGAATTCCATTTGGCTCGCGGTGCAAAATTTGTTCGACATAAGCGCGATATTACAATGGCGCTGCGTGGTTTTGTCTCATGACGCAGAGTATCGATAAACAGGGTCAGCCTATTATGTTGGCGATCAGCCAACTTGCACATGTTCATCGAATGATCGTTGAACCGTGCAAATTACGAAATTATATCGACAGCTCGCAAACAGGACATTCTGTCCTGCGGAAGCGCTATGACAATTTTATTGGCGCTCAATGAATTTGTAATTAAACGAGGAATCCGACGTAGGTTAATTATCGAGTTTCGTTTCACTGCGAATCACGAGCTAAATACTGATTTTCCTCCGAGGGAAATTGAAAATTTTAGGTTTCGCTACTGAAATCTTCAACATTTCATGGATGATTTTGCCATAAACAATAATTGGTCACATTGTCTGCTAAGTATTATTTTGAAACTTAAAAAGTTAATAATAACTCTAGTATCCTTTTTTAAATAATTTATAGGAATAATATTAGAGATTAACATTTGCATCTCTGCCAAAATCAATACTGACAGAAAATTTATTTTTATGCGTATTGAGCGTATAATACATAAAGTTGAATTGTCGAATTAAGTCAACATAAAATTGTTTGGTTAATTTGAACAAAGTCACTTCTACTAGACGTTAGTATTTTTTCTATTTCATTCATGACTACTTATATACATTACCCCCATTAGTATAATAAATAATAATAGATAAATAATAGTATAATAATTAATAGTAAGGATAAACTTAGATTTATTAGAAGACACGTTTGATCCATTACACTAATTTCTGTCAAATCCCTACCTACTATTAATAACAAGATTATCTTAATGCTGAGGTATTCAATAATATTCATCATAAACGCATTAACAAACACGTATGTTTACAAATATTATCCAAGTTTTCTCTGAAGTGTCGACAAATATTCAAAGTGAAAAAAACTATCAGCTTCAGTTAACTTTCTCAGTTTTATACACTGCCGTCCATATTTATTTGCCCACCCAGAGAAAAAATTACATAAAATTAAAAGTTTTGTTACTAAGGAAGTATTCACCCTATCGAAGCCTCCGGGAGCTCATTTTGTAGGTTCTGGCGAGTACTTTAAGATACATGTCCTCCCGAATCGATTAATAATTTTTTTCCATGTTTTATCAAGACATAAAGGTAAGTAAAAAATCAAAAATTTTTTGCCCACTTTTAAGTCCGAACATTTTTATGGGAAAAATTTCCACGATAAATCTAAAAGGAGTATTTCGAAGCTTGTTCGAAGAGCTTTCGAATGTGAGGTAGCAGGATGTTTTTTCATAATTAGCTTAAAAGTTACAGACGTTTGAAAGAAAAAAAACACTTTTTTTCGAGAATTATTATTTTGGTACCATCTACTCGCATGGAAAAACTTTACTCGGAAAAAACGTGTAATTTGTAGCGTAGAATCAACCTAAATTTTCTCAGATTTATTTCGTAAAATTTTTTTTCCTACATTTTGGAGTCGATTATTGTACGACTTTGTGGTATTCTGTAATAACTGGAATACTTTATTATAGATTGAAATGATCATTTTCTTAACAAGGAACAATAAAAAAATCAATAGTATAGAAAATATCAAATATTCAGTTTTTATTAGTCCATTATCGAAATAAATATAATAAATAAATAAATTATCAATCCATACGTTTTGATAGCTTTAGAAATTCATGTTTCTTGGTAGTAATAATAATAATAGTAATAATAATAATATATATATGTATATATAAATATTAAGAGAAACATCTAAACAGTCAAGTCACTCCTAATAACATAACAGTATGAGAATCTCACAAAAAATTATCTATTTGAATTTGATTGAACTATAAAATTATAATACTGTAATTAAATGTTTTTTTCATCAAAATGCCAACCTTTGTTCTTGATAACTGCTTTGCAGATTCTTGGCATTCTCAGGATCAAATTTTCCAAGGTGGAAGCTGGAATCTTCTTGCAGGATCGTCCATAAATGTTCTCTAGACGTAGGGCAAATTTTCCGTACTGCTCGGTCGAGTTCTTCCCATAATAATTCAATAGGATTCAGATCAAGTGATTGAGGAGGCCATGTCATGACTTGTAGTATTTGCCGGTTCTGCAAGCTCTCCAAATAATTTTTACAAATGTTCGAGGTATGTTTCGGATCATTGTCCTGTTGGAAAATAAAATTGGGACCGAGCAGACGTCTTCCAGAAGGCACTACGTTCCTTTGAAGTATACTTTTGTATTTTTCTTTATTTAATATTCCTTCAATTCGGATGCAATCCCCTACTCTGGACCCTCCAAAACATCCCCAAACCATCACAGATCCTCCACCGTGTTTGACAGAAGGTACAATGCACTCCCGAGAATGACTCTCATTCTTGCGCCTCCTAACATAAACTTTTCTTTTTGAACCAAAAACTTCAAATTTCGATTCGTCACTCCACAATACTTTCCTCCAATCGTTCACAGTCCAATCCTTATGCTCTTTGGCCCATTTCAATCTCTTAGCCACATTTACTTTTCTTAAAAGTGGTTTTTTGACTGCTATTCTTCCATGAAGCCCTTTTTCTGCGAGCCTTCGTTTGACTGTAGTGACACTAATCGATTTACCAATACTTTTACTTACTTCTGATGATAATTCTACAGCTGTTAGGCGGCGATTTCGAGTACTCAAGTGAACTATATTATCATCTTGTTTCTTCGTCGTTTTCCTCGGTCTGCCTGCATTTTTTCTTGTGGTCACTGTGCCAAATTTTAAAAACTTTTTTACGTTATAATCAACCGTACGCCGTGATAACTTGAGCGTTTTAGCTATATCCCTATTGCTCTTTCCGATTTTGTGAAGAGCCACGATCTCACTACGGCTCTCTATTGATAAATTCGCAGTTTTTCCCATGCTGGCGACTAAAGAGATTGTATGAATGAA